GTGCTTAGGAATTTGAAACAATGCATGTACATCATTAGCAGGGTTTATTCAAAAGCATACGACTAGGATTTTTTCGTTTTCATATCATCATCCTCACTCCAATTTCTGTCTAAGCAAGAAGATTGGTAACATTTCGTATCATAATGCATAAAAACATTTTTTTAAGAGAAACAAGTACAAGTGAAATGAATTGGTTTCTTCAAGACATGCATACTCATTGCATTAATCATTCAAAACAAACAAGTTCTTACATGCAAAACAAATGCATTAACAAACAAGGAACATTGCATATGAAAAAGCAGTAAAAATGCTAAAAATCTGAGAAGATTCTCTCCATATGGAGTTATACTGAAGGAAACATCTTTCAAACTTCAGGGTCAAAATCTAACAAAGATTCACTTATATTTTGACTTGAACATCAGGACCAACATCTCTAAATGATAAGATACCACTTCTAACCAATTTTTGGACTTCAATCTTCAACGGGAAATAATTTCTAGTACTATGACCTGGATCTCCTTGGTGAAAAGCACAATGAGCATCTGCCTTATACCAACATGGAATGTCTTTTGGGATTGCAAATGGTGCCCTTGCTTGAACCATATTCTTTTGCAGTCAACCACGTAACAAATCTTCATAAGCCATTGGGATCAGACAGAAATATGGCGCACATATTACTCTATTTTTTTATTGTTGTATGTTGATTGCTGATTATTATAAGCCTGTTGTTGAGGCTGTTATGTGTTGTAAGCTTGTTGTTGAGGTTGCAGAACTTGTGGATGGAATTGTGGTTGGTAACTTAGAGTTGTTAGATTAACCACTGGAATGACAGAAGCAACTTGTTGATGTTGATGATTGTCTCTGGGTTTCCTCTTCCTCACTTGTGGAATATCATTGAAAACCTACATCTTTCTCTTCGGGAGATAATTATCATAAATCATGATGCCACTGACAGAACCACAATCCTTGGGTAAATGTTCATCTTGGTAACCCTTTTCCGTGAGGATTACCTTTGTCGTCTTTTCTTCCTTCATATGAGGATTGATTTGAGCGATAACCAAAGCTTCAACCAGATTAGTCAGGTGCTCCATACTAGCTTTTAGAGTGGTCAGCTCCTTGCGGAGTCCAATGATCTCTTGCTTAATGTTTTCCATCTTCTCTTAGCACCAGTGTTGTACTAATGAGACAACTTGACTCTTGGAGACCAAGAGCAATGGATAAGAAACATGGAAGACTCTTGACAGCAAGACCTAATGCAATATGATGTATGATAATCAAATGTTTATTTTTATCTGACTTTCAAAGAACTCATGATATTAAATTGTAAACATCAAAGAATGAAGATAAAAATAAATCCTAAATTGGACCAAGGCATTTATCATCAAAACCAATCATCCATTTTGGTGGATTGGGGTTTTCACCCCATCAACACCGAAGATCCATTGAGTTTGATGAAACTTATGATGTTTACAAAGAAAGACCTCTAAGTTCCTTGAAAACCTAATGAAAAAAAGGGTTCCATAGATGCATGAATGTTTGGTTATGCAATAATCATAAACATGGTTCAAAGTCACTAGTATGGAGCCAAAGGTAAGAATCACCCCACAAGGTATGTACTATGGGTTCATATGTACCTAGAAAATAAGGTTTTAAAAGTACTTTTTGAGTCGTGATTCTTCTTTTGGACGTTACTGGTTTACACAACTACTTGTGAGTACCAATAATATTATCAAGAAAATCTCGTCCAAGCGTAGTATCGCGTAACGGGTAATTCAAGACTACTTTTGAATTTCCACTACACTACCTCCTAATGGCCAAGATGGTTAAGGGGTTCTACGACTTCAAAGATCCATGGGATCTCAGGTTGAAAGTAGTAATGCTTTAACAACTGGGTCATTTTAAAATTACCACCCCAAGGAGGCCTTCATTGAGTAGGGTTATATCATATGCTACTTATTTCAGGATTACTCCAGTCATGTAACTTTTGATTATACCACCATCCTAATTCTTAAGTGTTACTTAGTCTGGGTGTAAGAATTGTCTTTTCAAACACAATAATACACAAGGAACCACAAAACAACACATAGAACAAACAAATAATAATAAAATAGATAAAATAAACTAGGTTTAACCCTCTTGAGGATAAATGATTCCCCAGTGAAGTCGTTGTTTCTATCGTGGTGTAAAATATAGTAGATTAAGCTATTGAGAACCTTGACTCACAATGACTTAAGAAGTCACCTCGTAACTTTATTGTTTCCAAGAAAAAGGGAAAAGATCAAAACCATATTATTTAACTTGCAATGCAAGAAGTAAAGAGTAAAAGCAAAGCATAAGGAAGAGATCTAAGGTACGGGGGTTGTTTATACAAACACAAGGTATTAGCACCCTATGTATCTATAGTACTCTATAGGAACCACTTATAATATCTATTTTTTGTTTAAAATTGTTTATTTGTAAATTGAGTGTGGAGATGGGGAAGTAAAATATTTCCAAAATCTTCTACTTTTCCCTTTTTACAAGTAACCTAAAATTTCTTGACTTTTCTTGATTAAATTCATTCATCATCCACATTTTAATTATCCTTGTCTTGAGAAGTCCATGTTTGACCAATAATTCCAAAAAGTCAAAGTTTGACCTTGTTGTTGGCTTTGTACCAGATGAATCCAAATTGTCAAATTTCAATTAGAACTTTTGAACATTATGCAATCCTTAGCATATTAATATCTCCTTAAAATCCATGATATAATGTAGCCTTGAATGGTGCACAAATGAAGACCTTAAACCCCAATTCTTGACTTTTTATCTAAGGAGTCAAAACCCTAATCTCCTTCAACCACTTGATGAATTCAATGATGAAACCCCAATGTGATGAGATTGTGATGAATATAAACTATTAGTTGTATTTGTATTTTTTATTTTGTGAACAATTTAAAAATTTGTATAGTTTTTTATTTTATTTTATGAATGATTGATGTATGGTTTCCAAATGAGTTACAAAACTTTGATCTTAGTTATGATTGAATTATGTGTATGATTTATTGTGTGAATAATGTATGTGATGTCAAGTTCTATGAAAACTTATTCCTAATTACTTTCAAGAAGTTCATACCTATAATTACTTTCAAGAAGTTCATACCTCTGTCTACGAGTTTGTCCAAATTTTGAATTTGAATCCACTCCATTGTTCTGAAATAAAGACTCATGCAACGTGTAAAATATTTTCCAAGAGTGAGTATGAAATTTGAAATCCAGATTCAACCTTATGTTTAACACACACAAACAAAACATACAACTAATATTGTTCTAGAGGTTGGTTCTGTGATTGAAATCCAAATATAGTTTTTAGGCAAAATTAACCAGAGGTCCTTTAAGTTATTTTTTTGTAACAATTTGGTATATTAAGTTTTTTGTTTGTAACAACATGTTCCTTTAGGTTTATTTCTACACCCTTTTCTCACATTTTAAAAATTATGAAATTTGTGAATGGTTTATTTCTGGTTGCACTTCATCATTTTAACACAACTCAAAATAATTTCATCCATAATTAGTACCTTCACTCTGTTAAAAAAGTGTAACGCTACACACGTTTGATAACTTAAAGGACCAAGTTGTTATAATTTTTTTTAAAGGACCAACCTGTTACACAAAAATAACTTAAAGGATCTTTGATCTAATAGAGTGTTTTTATGATGAAGAGAATAAGAAATTTTGTATATGATTGGTGCGTATGAGTTTCAATCTCTAAATCGTGTCTATAGACATATTTGAATTTATTTAGGATTAATGAATACTACTCATGTGTAGTGAACACCAACCTAATTTTTTCAAATGGTATTTAGACCTCAAATAAAATTATTGATATTGTATATATAAATAATCAGGCTTCATATTTTTTAAAACTAAAACTATAATAAATACTGAACATCCCTTCAAGCACAAGGTGTACTAGAAGAGTTGTCCCCAAAAATATACGTTAACAAATGTCACAAAATAACAAATAAAACCCAAATCTAGCCAGCAGTGCGTGTAATACACTAGAGCAGATTAAACCTCCAAACCTGATACTCAAATTAAAAAGATAACCTGTGAGACTTCAACCACCGGAAAGAGTGAATTTTTACCTTCCAACAAAGACTCATCAAAGAAAGACTCTTATTCTGGAAAACCCGCTAGTTCTGCGCTTTCCAAATTAACTAAATTGTAGCTACCCAAATAATATGAAAAACATATTTAAATTCTTTTAACTAACCATCCAACGACACAAATTAGTCATAATGATCCCTACAATTCCCTTGAAAAACTGACTCAATCCCTAACCACCCAGACACTAACAACCAAAATTTACTATAAAAATCACAACGAACAAACATATGATCTAGAGTCTCATTTATACCATACAACGAATGACACATTTTATCTTCTACACTTATAATATGTTGCCAAACCAAATTGTCTTTCATTGGAAGTCTATTATGAAATAACCGCCACACAAAAAGGTTAACCTTCAATGACACCGCTTTCATCCACCAAGACTGATAGTCTTTACCATGATGATCTTCCAAATTTTTTCTCAAGAAATGATATTCGCTGCTCACACTGTAACATTTTGAAGCATGAAGTATCCACACCCATGAATCATTAACATTAACCTAAAAATTCACTAAACCCAGTAACAAAATACACTCCTCCAACTTCTCTTCCTCCCAAGAAAACAATCTCCTATGCCATCTCCACGCCTCTCCATCCACCCCCACCCTAAAGGAATTTATCTCTACTACTGACACCTCCTTATAATCTTCTAACTCAAAAAGCCTACTAAATTGATTAATCAACGTCCCTTCGCCTAACAAAGGATCCTTCTAGAAAAATGAACCTCTATCAACCATCCCAACCCGTTGTCTAATCCTATTTACAGTTTTCCACCACATAGACCCTTCATCATTCTCATACCTCAACCGCTATTCTTCCTCTCCATAACGCTGAGCTACCACCCTAAATTAAAGGCTTCCCCTCTCCTCCAACATCCTCCAACACCACTTCCTTAATAAGTTCACATTAAACTCCCTCAACCTTTTCACACCCAAACCTCCACTCTCCTTACTCAAACAAATAAAATCCAAATCAATCCACACTATTTTCCTCCTGTCCTCCTTACCTCCCCAAAAGAAAGCATTAATTAAAGATTCAAGAGAAGAAATGATACATGCGGGAGCCTTGAAGAAGGAATGGAAGTAAACCGAAATAGAGGATAAAACAGACTTTATCAAAATCAACCAACCACCTAATGAAAGGTTACGACTTTTCCACCCAGATAACCTCTTCTTAATAGTTTCCAACACCAGATTCCACAAACTAAGTATCCACGAATCACCCCTGATGAGCAGCCCCAAATACACAAAGGGAAGACTTCCCATCTTACAATTTAACACCATAAAAGCCTCTTTTAACCAATAATTAGAAATATTAATTCCCATCAACATACTCTTGCTAAAATTATCATTTGAACCCGAAATGGATTCAAACAATAACAAAACCGCTTTTAAGGCTCTAATATTAGCTCAACTCTTGGATCCCATCAACAGAGTGTCATCCGTAAATTGAAGATGTGTAACAGGATATCCAACACCATTTCCCACTTTATACTCATAGAATAACCCTTGTTGAACCAACGCTTTTATTAAAACATCAAAACCTTCAGCCGCAAGAAAAAAAAGAAATGGTTATAAAGGGTCTCCCCGTCGTAAACCTCTCTCCAACCTAAACTCATTAGTTGGGCTTCCATTAAATAAAATTGATGTCGTATCAGTAGAAACACATTCATAGATCCACTTCACCCACAAGACTAGGAAATGAATTCTCTTCATCACCCTAGATAAATAATTCCAGTCCACTGAATCATAAGCTTTCTCAATGTCCACTTTGAATAACAATAATTCCTTTTTATTCTTCCTAGCTTCATCCACTACCTCATTTTCTATAAGAATACCATCTAATATTTTTCTACCACTTATAAAAGCGGAATGAACCTCCGAATTCAGCCGTCCTATAACCTTTCGTAAACGGTTAGCCAACACCTTTGCAATAAATTTATACAAGCATCCCACTAAAGATATAGGACGAAAATTCGCAACCCATTGAGGACTAGCTGTTTTAGGTATCAAAGTAATAAACATACTATTAATACCTTTAGTGAGCTTACCATTGTGATGAAACTCCACCAAAAGTCTCTATAAATCATCTTTCAACATATCCCAAAATTCTTTTATAAACCCGAAGCTGACACCATCGGGACTAGGACTCTTATAACTATCACAATCCCACACTACCTCTTTCACCTCCTCCATCGAGAAGGGATTGATTAAATCAGGCCATTCCTCCCCATTAAGAGTTTTAAACACCAAGTTATCAATCTCAACTCTATTACCTTCCACCACCCTAAATTGAGACTGAAAATGCTGGAAAATAGCCTCCCCAATCGGAGCCACCCCTTCCACTACACTACTATTCACAAATAAGGTAGTTATCCCATTATACCTTCTTCTAGATGTTATAAACCCATGCAAATTTTTGGAATTAGCATCAGCTTCATTAAACAAATTCAATCTGGATTTCTTCCATTGACTACGAGAATGCAATTTAGAGAAAGACAACAAATCAACCGAAAGGTCATTCAATTCTATTACCCCCCCACCCCCCACTTCCTCTAGACTTACACTTTCCCCCTTAATTTCAATGACCTCAATGCAATCTTTTACCTTAGTAATTTTACCCTCCATGTTCCGAGAATGTTTTTTATGCCACCATTTCAAGCTCTCTTTAATTAACTTCAATTTTTGTTTCAACACATAACCACCCCACCCATCCACCTAGAAAGACCTCCACTGACCAAAGACATAATCATGATACCTTTGAATTTTTGTCCAACACTTGAGCATGCGTTGAGGTCGAGGCCCCAATCCTGAATATCAATGTTCAACATCAACGGGAAATGATCTGATAAACCTCTAGGCAACACCCCCTGAGTATAATTCGACCAAGTAACAAACCACAATTATGTCACCAAGAACCTACCCAACCGACACATTACAAGACTATCCCCATGATACCAAGTAAAACGTCTCTCACATAATGGAAAACCATTAAAGCATTATCATCAATAAACATATTAAAAGATGTATCCTCCATTGAACGACCCACCATAACAATACTATGTCTTTCATACTGGTGCCTCACATCATTAAAGTCCCCTACCACGCACCAAGAGCCTCCACTTGTATTTATTCATGATTTCCCCTAAGTTACCCCACAACACATGAAGCTTCTCACCATCACACAATACATACACATTATCCAGAGCAAATTCCTCCCGGCTCTTAATAAAGATACCTTGTATAATCAAGACATGCTCTATCGAAAGAGTAACCCACACCTCTCCCACATCCCATCATTATGCCAAACAAGGGATTAGACAGCGCTTTTTTAGGCCTTTAACAGCGCTTAAAAGCGCTGCTAAAACCTCCGCTGCTAAAGGTATAGACAACACTTTTAATGTGGAACTTTAGACAGCGCTTTTATCAAACGTTGTCTATTCCCCCCCTTTAGCAGCGCTTATCCTTATTATTTTTTAATTTTTTTTTTCAATCACTTTAGACAGCGCTTGGTAAAAGCGCTGTCTATTCCCCCCCTTTAGCAGCGCTTTTCCTTATTATTTTTTTAAAAAAAAATTTCAATCACTTTAGACAGCGCTTTCATGAAAAGCGCTGTCTATTACCCCCCCTTTAGCAGGGCTTTTCCTTTTTTTTTTTAATTTTTTTTTTCAATCACTTTAGACAACACTTTCATGAAAAGCACTGTCTTTCCCCCCCCCCCCCCCCCCCCCTTTAGCAGCGCTTTTCCTTATTATTTACGTGTCAATCAAAGTAGTTTCTATGACCAAAATTATGCCTTCAGAGGCATCCATGTTTATAATAAAACTCAGATAGCTGAAACAAAAATTAATATGGCTATTGTAAATAATAAATGTTTTTGAGGTGATAACTCTGATAAACAAACTACAGTAAATTTTCAATTTAGGAAAATGACACATAGCGAAGCAAAACAAAATAGAAACTCTAAGTCATCCTCTGGGCAGCTTCCTTGGCAATAAGCCTTTCCTTCGCCTTAGTTTTGGCTTGGGATTTGGAACCCATGATTCCACCACCCCACTTCTTCCTGTACTCTTCATACTTGTCATTGAAGTTTTCCTGAAATACAAGCAAAATAAATACACAAGTTTTATTGGGCAATACGGAAATACACTGGAAAAAGAGAATTATAAAATTCAATGTCACATTGATTGCTTCAAGGACCCTGCTAAACTCCATTTTATTTTCATTTTTAATAGTTGTCAAGCACAAAACAACTACAATTTTCTTATGGACAACCTGTAAAGTATAGATGTGTTATGAGTAATTAACAAATTAATGTCAACATAACTCATTCCCATTACATATTAGTGTTGAAACCACAAGAAACTTACAATTCCAAGGCGAGCCTTCCCCTTAACAATACAGTATGGAATTTCCATTTTCCTACACAATGCTGGAAGCCAGACAACCAATTCAATTGGGTCAACATCATGAGCAATCACAACAAGATGGGCTTTATTCTGTAATAAAAAGATAGCAGCTTAGCACGTCATCCATCAATATCACAAAACAAATACACAAACAAGACAAAAACCACAATCACTGAGTAACAACATCAATAAAAAACCTACTCAATGAGGTAGGTAACATGATTGAGACCATACTTGACATTAATATGCTTCTTTGTCTCAACTGTTTTACCCTCAGACTCTTCCTGAGCCCTTTTCAAAAGCCTATCCTTCTTTTCTGCTTTGTCCTCAGGCCTATACTTGAGAAGAATCTTAAACAAGATTGTTGCTGCAGGTGCAATCATTAAATATAATCAAAATCATTATCCAAACAAAATAAGCCATCATAGAATCTGAATGTATAGAACATAAAAAAAAAAGCAACTCAAAAGTCTCTAACTAAATTCAAATTAACCAAAGCAGCTAACTAATTAACATCAAAACCCACAAGAACAAAATATGACAACTAAATTCAAATTACGTTCTCAATTATCTCAAAAATTGTTTGACAAAGTGGAAGGGAACAATGTAAAAATATTCGGTCAAACTTTAGAAGATATGAGATGAAAGTTGTGAGCATCTAACGCTTATAAATCATGAACTGAAACATTGTATTTTGGTGTAGGATCCAATTCTATTGAAATCTAAAATTTATACAAAAATTTTAATCTAATCTTTTCTTCTTTAATCTTCCTTCTAAAAAAACCTATTGTCTTCATCAAAATCTAACTATGATTGATGATGAACATTTTCTTTATAAATTCCACATAGATTGCTCTAAGTATTGGAGTGTGAAGTCTTAAACGCACTAACAATACTTAAATCTGTGCTAAATTTTTACATCCATTGTTAGAGTTAAAATTGTAAACACATACACTAAATCTTTTTTTTTGAGAAGACAAAGAGATTAAGTGTTTTTTTTTCTATTAAATTCATATTTTATTTAGTTTGTATTTGATTATGTTTTCTATTTACACTTACCAAAGTTTTTGTTATACAATTACTTCAACAAAGCAATAGGTGATAAATCTAAATATTTTTCATAATCAAACATAATCATGTCTATGTTTTGTTTTGGTGGTCAAAGATTAGAGAGTAAGATAGAGAAGCCTAAGTTGATGATAATCTTGTGTTATTTTAGGATTATAGTAAAAACAAATTATGAGAATGAAATACAAAAAACACATGATGAGAATGAAAATGAGTACCATATACCATATTGAATGAATGCATTTAATGTGTGCAATTTATTTCAGAATCAACTGAGAAGCTTTTCACTTGAGAGCTGGCATATGTTTAATTCAAAGTTCCTACACAAAGTTCTAATAACCATCACCACCACCCATAGCAACTTACCCCTTAAATAGTATGCCATTAAAGTAAGTTTCAATGAGCTCTTTCCTAACAGGATCATTCAAGAACTTAATCAAGCAACGTTCCTTCGCAGTGCCACCAAACACAGCCACCAAATTCTCACATTCCATCTCATCAAGTTTGGGGATGAAAGGTATCCCCCTAAATCTACAATCCTTTTCATAAAGATGATAACACTCAATTCTCAATTAAGCTATGGAAGGCTCTTCATATTCATAAATAGGACCTAACTTTAACTTCAACTTACCACTGATTCTTACAAATTCTGTCTCCAGCACCATTTGACGCTTCTTCAACTCATCAATCGCGCTCTGGAAGCGTTTGCGTTCTTTCATAAGAGGAGCAGCAGAATCAACGAGCTTTCTTGCTAAGGCAATATCAACTTTTGATATTTCCTCCTTCTGAAAGAGGATTTGTAACCTTCTCCTGAAAAATTATTCCCAAAATAATACAATTAATAAAAACAAGCAAAAATGGAATCGTAAATAAGATAGATGTTGAAGCAATTACTTACTGGCTTCTTCTTGGAAGCTGCAACTGGAGCTTTAACACCCTTTTTGGGACCCTGAGAAATCAAACACATAAGTGTAAATTGCACAGATATAAACGAAGACAGTGAAGATATAGAGATAAGAATAATTAGGAATACAGTATAAGGAGGATATGAATTCGTAGAGTTTACTCACCATTATTGCTGCTGGTGCTAAAGCTCGTGTCTGCGCGGTGACGAATTTGGAGAAGAAGATGAACCACGGTTGGACGGTGAGGAGGGAGGAGACGAGTTAGACGAAGATGAACAGTTGCTTGTATAAAGTGGGATTTTGTATAAAGTGGGGTTTCTGATAACCAATTTAGGGATTTAGAAATTATTTAATTACCTTAGACAACGCTTTCAAGAAGCGCTGCTAAAGGTATTACCTTTAGCAGCGCTTTAAGGCTTTAGCAGCGCTTTAGTGTAATGCCTTTAGCAGCGCTTCTTGAAAGCGTTGTCTAAGGTATACCCTTTATCACACCTTTAGCAGCGCTTTTAGTAAGCGCTGTCTAAGGTATACCCTTTAGCAGCGCTTATTCTAATTTTTTTTTATTGAAAACCTATAGCAGCGCTTAGGGAAAGGAAGCGCTGGCTATGGTAAAGCCTTTAGCAGCGCTTTTAGTAAGCGTTGTCTAAGGTATACCCTTTAGCAGCGCTTATTCTTATTTTTTTATTTTTATTTTATTGAAAACTTATAGCAGCGCTTAGGGAAAGGAAGCGCTGTCTATGGTAAGGCCTCTAGTAGCGCTTTTAGTAAGCGTTGTCTAAGGTATACCTTTAGCAGCGCTTACTCTAATTTTTTAATTTTGTTTTCTTCTGAAAACCTATAGCAGCGCTTATGGCATAAGCGCTGTCTATGTGGCGCTGTCTAAATTCAATTTTGACATAATGCATAAAGTCAAAATACAACCTGACGCTCCAAAAGATAGCCTAAAAGAAAAGCCCACCTCTTCATTCCCTCAAAGAAAAAACTACCAAACTCATTTACCACCTCCAATTTATACTCCTGAATATAAAAGATCCACGGGTGTTTCTCCATTCTCACCTTCTACACCTCTCTCTGCTTCTCCCACCCACCTAACCTAGGAACATTTGAAGACATAATTCATCACTACCTCCAACCCCTTGACGTCCACCCCTATCCACCTACTATCGATCTAATTCCCCCCTTCTCCTACACCCTGACTTGCCATCACCTCCACCTTCTACCTCCCTCCACCTCCTCTAGCCAATACACTGAACATATTAGAGAAATCTCCCGCACACTTAATGCCAATCGCATTCCCTACCTTCTCAACATCCACCTGCACCTCATAATTACCCCTTTGTAAAGACATCCAATGTTTCCATTCATCCTTATTTAACAAAGAAATAGACTCAGCAGATAAGGACTCACCCTGGAAGTTTACCTTTGACTGAGACTTAGAATTTTTAGAACCTCTCCTTTTTCTAGAATATTTTAGATAACACCCTATAGAACCAGTGTCTTTTTGTACCATTCCCGTAACATGTATTTTCTAAGATACCTTATAGTGTTTTTTGATGGATCCAATAACCCATTTATCTAGTCCGCTGGTCGGTGTCATACTTTGTTGGAGCAAAAGATATTAGGCCTCACGTTCACACTAACAAAGTAGCCCCTAAGTTACGATCAGGAAAGTTGTCTAGTGGTTTAGTATAGTTCCTTTTGAGTGTATGTCTCCCTTGTGGTTGTAGGTGAGAATTGTCTTTCCCCCGTGATTCTAGAACTTTTCGACCTCTTTAAGTATTTCTTCTAAAAACTTGTACTTTTTTCTCTTCCTAGTTTCAAGCTTCATTTTTCCATCAGTCTCTATTTGTTTGATTTCTTCTATTGGTGAGTTTATTTCCTTTTGTTACTTTTTGTACCCGTGTAACTACCATTAGTGGTTTCCTTTGTCGTGGGATAGATATCTTACTACTTGTTCTTACGAAAAACACTAAGCGAGTGGCTTCCTTGTTAGAACAAGGAAAACCTCAATGGGTAGGTTTCTGTAGTATTTGTGGGGATTTGAGTGCTACACTTATGTTGTGTATTGACCCAATATGAATGTCTTTCTTATCCCTTTGATGGGAGCCCCTTTATATAGTCTTCCATTTTCACCATTAAGAGCCTCATTCAAGAGGTGACTCTTTGACTTCTTAACTGCATAACGGTATTGTCACCATGAATAAGTGCGTTCAAGACTATGTAACGCTTGGTTTAACACGTTGACAACCATTACATTAATTAATGGGATGAGTTGCAAATAAGTTATGAGCAGATGGAATCCAATTACATGCAATATCTAGGTTTGTAGCATAGATGGGTTGCTTCCCAAACATAATTACTGCTGCTCTACACCCTTAGTCGAGTTACACCTCTTCCCGGGTATTCTTCGTCTTTATGGGACGAACACTTGCTTCATTCCCTTCCCAAACAACTTCATGACCCGATCAAGGCTAATATTTTTGGGAAGTACATAAGCCCTCCAAATACAAATTCTTTTGTAAGAATGAAGTGTTCGGTCACGAAAAGCATGTGATGTATTAAGGTCTGGACTGGGTTATAACCCGAACTCACATTTACACATGTATCATAGACTGAAATGTCACGTATCTTCTATCTCATAGTGCATTGATGACTTTTTATTGGGACTTTGTTTTTACATCTCAACATTTTAACAATGTTTCGTTTCCAGAGAAGCATTTCCAGGTATTTTCCTTTTCTTTCTTCGCCTTATTTTTGCTTTTTTCTTTGTCTTTATTTTTAGAGAATGGTTACTGTGATCGGTGGACCTGGAACTGACTGTTTAACGCTGGTTCGCGAAATGTCGCGGAAGCAAGAGTCGCCACCGTCTTTTATTTTCTCCAAATGGAAAGGACAAAAGCACAGAAAAATTCCTTAAAAGAGATTGCTCTCGGTTCGGGAGGTAGGTTATAGAAAGGGAAGGTGTTAGCACCCTTTCTATCCATGGTTATCCATGGGCTCTTAGATACTTGCTCAATGTGTTTTCAAAAATGTTTGTTTGCTTTTCAATGTGGGTTTAAAAAAGTTTCTTTGAAAAATTTCAGTTCGACTCGTACGTCAGAGTGTTCGAAAAATTTGCTTTGAAAGCTTTTGAAAATGTGTTGGTGTGAAAAGATTTCAGTTTGTTTTGAAGAGAGCAAGTATCCATGAGTCGTCTACCTACCCTAAGGAATTCGTCTGTGTAAATGTCCTTAAAAGTAATGCCATCCCACCATTGAGAGGTAGGTAGCACCAGCGTTGGAGGTGTTCGGGTCAATTCGAGTTTTAGGGACGTGGTGATCACCGGAGCAATGGGAAGACACCTTAGAAGCTACCCTCATGCCAGGTTCCCGGATCATGAGGACTTACTAAGACATCCTCTACTCGACGACCACCTTTCGAAAGGCAACAGGGAGGCGTACCCTAGGGGTGGTGTGTGCGGTTCGTGTGTCATGTTTCAGTTATTTGTCTTGTCATGTTTGTTGTGATCTACGCTTGATTTTAATTAAGACATTCATTCTTGCATGCTTTTTAATAGTTATAAAGTTTGCGAGAAAATAAATCTAAGGCTATTACAAAGGGCGCGGGTCCACATCGCCAAAATTAAACCGGACCCGATTTGACGGAAAATAAATAAAGCGAATAAAAGTGAAGTGCGAGAAGTTAAATGTTACAATGCTTTGGGAGAATTACATAATTATAATAATTGACATAAAATAAATGCGCAAATTAAATAAATTATGGACATGGGCGTTGGACCCTTTTGCAACAAACTAAAGTTAATAAGGAATTAAGAATTAAAATTAAAAAGAATGTTTTTTTTGGTATTTTGTGTTTTTAAGATTTTAAAGAAAAAAGAACTTTTTAGAATGAAATTTGAAATGCAAACCCTAATTCTAATTTTTTTTTTAGTTTATTATGAAAATATTAAAATTTTAACTAATTTAAACCTAAGTTTTTTTATGTACAATTTAATTTATGAAAATAAATAAAATAAATATTATTATTAAAAAAAAGGGAATTAAAAGGAATAAAAATTAAACCTAATTCTATTTTTGGATTTTTGTTATTAAAAGGATTAAAATTATGACCTAATTAAAACTAAATTTATTTACATGCAATTTATCTATAAAAATAATTAAAATAAAAATATTTATTACAATTTGTCCTTTTTTCTGATTTTTTAATGAAGTTTTTATATTTTGTAAAAAAAACAATTAATTAATTAAAACAATGAAAATAAATAACATAATAATCAAAAAAATAAAATATGAAAAGAAAAGCAAACCAGGGGGGGGGGGGGGGGGCTAGCCCCAAAATTGGAGGTAAGGTTCAGCAAATCAGGCCCATTAAGCATTGAAATTCACTGACTTTCCCAGATTGTGTGCTAACGCGTTGACTTGCGTTCATGGTACACCTTGGATCGTGGCACTCTGATTAGTTCTCATAGGCACGTGGACATCTGGATGATGGTGGAGCATGGTGTGCATCAATGACAGCGCTGCATGGGATTTTACATTGAAAAATAATATTGAAATTTGCCAGACCTGGGACTTGAACCCAGGTCACAAGGGTCAATGCAATCAACGTTCACCATCTGAGCCACTACGCGCATGTTATTATATTATAACAAATAAATAATGAAAAGAAACATTGGTTAGTGGCCCCTAAAAAACACAAAAGCGCGCGCTGGTTTGAATGAGCCACCCAATGGTTGCCAACACATCATCTTCCTCATTGTTTTTATTTTTTCCTGAAACACAAGCCTATGGAAACGGTTTTGCTCGCATGGCCTTAGGCTAGCTACAAGAAAATAGCGACTAGCGCTATGATATCAATAAATTGATCGCGAGGGTCCAGGTCTCCTCGTCTTGATGAGCTGATTCCAATGGTGGTACTGGGATGGTCTAATTTTGCTTGTATTAAGAATCCCTAATTTTGAAACCTGTAAACCCTAAATCTCATTCATGGCATCATCGCGTATGGTCAACAAAAATACAATCAAACACAATGGTTAGCTTGGAAACTTCATGCTGAACAAGAATTCATAAACAAAAATGCAAAAAGATATATGAATTATGATATGCGATTTCAAAAGTTTTGCTTTACAGTTTGAGTTACAGGTACCAATTCCTGGAGCTTTTGTGGTTGATATTGATTGGAATATGATCAGGAGTCCACGAGCAAGCTTTTGGAATGAGTATTAGGGCTTAAAACCACACCTAACAACGTTTTCAGATTTGAGTTTTTATGGCAATTTTTCAATGTTGCAATGGCTTTTTGGGTGCAGCTTTCAGTCTAATTGCTTTAGGGTTGTGATTCTGAATATGTATAGAAGCTTTTAGGTCAACAAAATTGCACAAAATCCATGGCATTCAATGATTTGCATATTTGATTTTGTAAGATCTTTTTTGAATCTTTTCACATGGTTCTTTGTGTCAATTAGCTCCAATCACACCAATTCTTTCCATAATTGAACAAGCACGAAATATTGAGAGTAGAATGTGCACAAAAAGATTTTTTTAGGTCAAGTTTATATTTTTTACATATTTAAATAGTTTAAGTGAATTAATATTAATATAAATTCAAATAAATAATTAAAAAATGAGAAAATACTTCCCCTTGGGCTTAATGGTCGTGCATAGGCTTGGCATGAAGAAACTTGGAAGAAAAATGGGCCCATTAGCATTTTTAGGTCATTTGGATCAAAGTTGACTTTTCAAAATTTCCAAAAATTTCCCAACTTCCACAAGGCATAACTTGCTCAATTTGTAAGCTTTTCACATGTTCTTGGACATTTTGGAAAGGTCTTTGAGTCCTTTAACCAATGCCTTTGGTCCCATATCATTTTGATTTACCAATCTCAAGTTATGGCCTTTGACTTAAAGTCCCTTTTTGTTGACTTTTGAAAATGACTTATAATGTTGAAATTGATAACTTTTTGTGAGAGCATTTCTTGGACTTGAAGTATGAATATGAGTTGTAGGAAATGTATTTCTCTTCAAAATGAGCTTTGGATGGAATTTTTCTGA